ACAGGAACGGAGTTCCGGCTGGCTTCAGAGTTGGCCACGCCCACTACAGCCAAAACCTCTGCGTGCCTGGCTACAGAGGGAAGGCCTGGAGAGCGACCCCTCCCCCATGGCGACTCCGAGGAGGATGGAAGGCCTCTCTGGAAGGATCGGGGAGGCATTTAAATGCCTCCCCCTGCCTGCCCAAGGGCCAGCTTGCCTGGGCTCCCCATAGCCACAGGGTGCCCGGGCAACCCAAGAGATGGCATGGGGGTGTGGTCTAATATGCCAATGAGCTGTGCTGTCAGGGGTGTGGCCTAATATGCTAATGAGTTTCTGCTGGGCTTTTTCTACAAAAAAAGCCCTGCACAGTCCCATATAATGTAGACAATATTCAAGTAGGTGGGCCCCAGTAGAAGCATCACCCACGAGACGCCTGTCCCAGGTTTAATTGTTGTTTGCAGCAATGCAAGGAGAGAACCTTTCCGTCATGAGGGATTAGGCAGCTTTGGCTCCATGTATTAGACGGGGTGTTACGGTTCCAACAGTAAATCAGATCTGAAGAAGTTTTCAAAACGCGAGGCTTCCCTGGGACACACGTCTTGTTGGTGAAGTTTATGCTGAGCCTGAGGTCCACCTACTTGAATGTTGTCTACGTGCAACGGCTCCTAATCGAGTCGCTTTGGAAGCCCGTTTCAGCATATTATAATGGAGACTCAGTCTTTAATTGTTTGCTTTTGGAACGTATAGTTTATGCTTATTCTACAAATCACTTAAGTGCCTGAGAGTGCAAGAAAAATACCACTTGCCTAAATTACTGTGTGCCTGCGAGCACAGGAAAAACAGCCCCTCGTTGCTTTAAATTCTGTTGTAGTGCCTGCGTGCAGTAATTTGTGTGTCTTAGCCGTTAACCACCAGCTGTTTGGAAGTTATATTTACGTATGTTTATAAGTGTAAAAGGTGACTATGTTAGGCTATGAATATAAGTGTTTTATTTATTATATTATCTTGGCATTCTATCCTCCCTTTTTGCTTTACATACGCCGGGAGTCTTTCGTCTCATGTTAGCCCTATATGACAGACTGCACTCCACTTTAGATTGCAGGGGAGTGAATCGCATTTTGCAATGGCTCCCCTAAGTTAAGAACTCCCTGCGAAAGAAAACCAAGCCAAGAGAGGCAATAGCATGTCAGGGAGGAAAGCTCTATTTTTATATACAAAGAAACATTCAAAGGTGGAATCCTCTGCCTGCCGTCTGAAATGGCGCAGTCCATTCTGCCTCACCGTTCCTCCTGCGCATGTGAACTATGCCTTTGGATTCAGAAGAGCAGGTTTAGCCCATCCTCAATAGTGCCCTTCCTCAAAAATGTCCCTTCATTTTCACCTACCCAAGGGCCTGGCTGCTCTTCAACGTATCATACTCCATGTGGCAGATGGGAGGGTCAGGGGGAGATGGGGCACGCTGAAGAGGAAGGTAGGAAAAGTCATGTTTTGGGGTGCATGGCTGAGAACTCCGGGGCCATCGAGAACGGGGAGGGGGAAAGAGACAGAATTGTGGGGGCCTCCAGCCATCTCCAGGATTTTCCCAACTCAAAGTTGGCAACTTATAGATGGAGGAAATGCAGGCCTGGGGATTAGGGTTGCCGGGTCCTTACTTCTTTCTGGTGGGGGGGCTCCTCTCTTTGTCTGGGAGTCTTCGGCACGCACACTTTGACATCACCCAGAGGGGACGTCATCGCACAGGGCACGCTCTAGCATTTGAGGAAAAACTCTATGGTGGCCATAGAGTTTTCTCTCAAATGCTAGAGCGTCGTCGTCCCCCTGCAAC